ATAAATCCTTTGATCTATGCTGCCCGATGGCGTAACCACTGAGGGACAAGGGGAAAATATATATCTTTGGAAATCTTCCCCACCCCTTTATAAATGCCCTTTTATCCCCTGAAAGTGCCTATAAACCTCAAATTTCGCGCGCATTTCTTGTTAACATGGGCCAATTTCCTCTAAAAATTGCACATTTTAGGGAGTTTTGATCAATTCCAACGAAATTAGAATTAAAACACCGGGGGACAAGGGGAAAATATCCATCTTTGGAAAATCTTTCCCCACCACTTGACAAATGCATCCTCTGAAAATGCCTAAAATTCTCAAATTATTTGCGCGCATTAGTTACGGTTGGCCAATTTCCTCTATAAATTGCACATTTTAGGGAGTTTTCATCAATTCCGACGAAATTAGAATTAAAAACACAAAAATATTTTGCGCGCTTCGCCCGCATTTTTTAGGGCTTTTTTAGGTTTATCCTTTTAAGTTATTTAAACACATAATAGTCCCAACTTAAGAAAGACAAATTTAAGATAGATCGTTTTAACCTAAAGGAAGGGCCCCAATGTGTATTTACGGTGAAAGAATATGTTTGTAATAAATAAAACCATGATGAAAATGCTTATATTTAGTTTCAAACACACGTGTGTGGCCTATATTATAAATAAGATAAGCCCTATGTCGGGGTATCGTTTTCTATATAATTTTCATCTTTGTAAGCGTAAAGACAGTGCAAATTATTTCTGTGACAGTCTTTTGAAGTGTGTAAAACTCCATTTTATCCCATACATTCAAAATATTGTTGGAGGATGATACAATGGACCATCTCCCCCTTGCCAAATATTGGGGGTGGGATATATCCCCCATCCCCCGGGATCTACGCCTATGACCCCTAGTAGGTGACATAGTTATGAATAAACTAAAGATCAAAGCATTCTTACCCAACTGATCAAATACAAAATCAGAGAAAGCTCCTTTGCAGCTTTCCGCACATTGTTAAGCATGTAGCCTACGTATAGCAAACGCTTCTTTAAACAATAGACCAATTTTGCGAACTATCAATAATGTTAGTATTAGAAAATATTAAACCTAATATATTACGTACATTACATGCTACATTTTCATTTTCAAGTAACCTTGTAAACCTAAAATATATTGGAATGCCTCACAATTTTGTATATATTATAACACAGATCCTGAAGAATGTTCTTTAAGTCTACGGTTATTAAGCATCTATCTGTCTTACCAATATATATGGTCAAACACTTTGGTACTTGTGCATATAAGCTCGCAGTAGGCCTACTTATTAATAACAAATGTAGTATTGTAGGAAATGATTTTTACACATCCTCTCCTAACCCCTCAACGCGTCTTTTTTGGTGCAGTTTACAAAAGCGCAAGCGATGTCGCGTGCGTTGGTGGTTCAAAAGGCTTTTTGATGACGTTTTGGGCTCCATAACATGGCGTCGGTCGCTTTACTAAAATAGCCAATGAGCAATCCAGCTATTGTAATAGAGAAAAGTAAGTGTAAACCCAGCTTATTTATTTATTTTTTTTTTTTTTTTAATTCTATTTTTTTTACTCTCGATTGGTTAACAATTCCTTAACAATTTTTGTATATTTTCATTTCTTTCTTTTTGTTAATTTGTCTTCATATATCAATTTATTTTTCATATTCTAATTTATATTCATTTTCTATTACTTTTTGTTGATTTTCCTTTCCAGGCTTTTTCTTTTTCTTTCAGTTCATTTCTTTCCTTTCTTTTATTTTTTCCTCTTTTCATTTTCTTTCTATTCCATTCTGTTGATTTCTTTTTTCTATTTACCTTCGATTTTCTTATTTTAACTCCAGTTTCTTTTCATTTCCTTATTTTCCATTCACTTCCTTTCTTCTCTTCTTTCTCCTTACCATTCCTTTCTTTTCAGTGCCTTTTCTCTTGGCAGCCATTCTGAAATCCTCTTTCTAAATGGTTTCACTCTATTGCATGGTCTGCCTTTGATTAGGCCCTATGAAATATTCATAATAGTCCAAACTATGGAGGCAAGCTTGAGTCCAATATGGTGCCAATATGAAATAATGATTGCATGTTACTCCCTAATTATACACATAAAAACCCTTGATTCACAGCGCTGGTACTTCACTTACCGGTAGGCCTAAGTATGCAAAAATATTATCTTTGGCGGCCATCTCTTTTTTCATATCCAGTATGGCAGCCATCTTGAAATTCAATATGGGAGTCGGCATAATTTCTGATGACTGCATGATACTTCCCGATATCGAAAACACGAGTAAAGATTTGAAAATGCTAGATGAAGATACAGTATTGACAAAATCAATAATTGGCGGCCATCCTGAAATTCAATATGACATAATTTCCTGCCCCTCCCCCACCGTGCCCCTACTGGATCGCCCCTGCAATTTCTGATGATTGCATTAGCTCCCTGATATTTAAAACATGTGTAAAATATCTTTAATTGGCAGTGATGTGTTGTGTTCCTAGATATGAATACTTGGCAATTGATTGATAGTGGTAGGTGCAGTAGATGGAATATATATTGACAAAATATCAAGAACTTGACAGCCATCTTTAAATCCAATTATATGGCGTCCATTTGACATAATTTCTGCTAATTGCATTGCACTAACTGATATTGAAAACATGGGAAATTGTAGATAAATTTAAGTTTTTGGGAATTTATTTAACTAATGACTTGAAATGGCGAGAAAATACAACGTACCAAGTGCATTAAAAAAGCTCAGCGACTCACTTCCTGAGGGGACTTAAATCTTCTGGGGTTAGTAAGAATATTATGTCAATTTTTTACAAGTCCGTTGTTCAAAGCATTCTTTTATATTCTATTGTTGTTTTGTATTGTGGTTCCACCTAGGCTGACCGAAATGACCTCAGGCGTATCATTAAATATGCCTCTCGTATTATCGGTCACAACGAGGATGATATTGAGGACATATTTAATGCTAGGATGTTTAAAAAAATAAAATGTATAATTGAGGATCCAACACACCCTGGTAACTCTCTCTTTGAATTGCTTCCCAGTGGTAGAAGATATCGTTCGATTTATGCTCGTACAAATGTACCAAAAGAGTTTCTTTCCATCAGCCATCCGGGCCCTCAATACAATTCAATAGCACTGTTACTCTGATATTTCTCTCTTAGTGCTACTTTGTTGCTCATTGTACTTGGTTGAATGTGAAAAAGAGCCACATTAATTTCTATGTAATGTAATGTGTTGCGTTGCAAATGACAATAAATTGAATTGAATCTTCAAGTGTGGGGAAAGATTTTCCCACAGATGGATATTTTCCCCTTGTCCCCCGGTGGTTACGCCACAGCGGAGAATGTCTGGCAGCTTAGATCAAAGAAGCTATGGACACTTTTTGAAGTGGAGAAGGGGATTTGGTGTTGTGAGTCTGGTCATTATGATATCTTTCTTTTTATTCTTGTCGTTATTTTTCTCTTTTTCAGTCTTCCCCCTGCCCCCGCCTGTTATGCCACTGACTTGCCCCACATCTTGTACGAACATTGGCTGCTGAAAAACTAGGTGAGGACGGGTACGAACATTGGCTGCTGAAAAACTAGGTGAGTACGGGCCGCAGAGAAGGATTAATTGCCGGTCATACGATGTGGTGAAGTGTCAAACCGATGTAGGGTGCAGACAAACCAAAACGGGTACCCATAATTAGCAGAACAAGTTAAAAAACCATCAAACAAAAAACCCTGAGTAAACTGAGCTTCACCCAGTAACACATTGAATCCTGGCCAGACTCAAGGGTAGTATTCATTGCGTTGTCTAGTCTAATCATAATAATTCCACTCATTTCAATGAAATCCTCTAGAATCTAGATTATATTTTGTATATATTTTATTTATTTATTTCAGCATATAAAAAAAAAAACGTACAAGACGGTAGCACAAAGCTAAAAAGCTTTGTATTATAATTAATAAGAAAAAAGCGAATCTAATAATAAAGCTTTAAACATAAAAAACTATAAATGTAAAAATATTGATATTTTATCAATGTACCGCACTATCCACAAAAGCTTAAGATTTGGAACAAGACATGCTTTAAGCAATCGATTACAAAGCTACAATTTTAAAATTCTGTGTAGTATTTATCTCATTCTAAATGTAAAATGTATTGTTTATATTTGAATTTTTGAATAAATGTACCATGAGAATATGAATAACACTGGAACAGTATAATGAGAATATTAAGACTAAAGCCGACCATTCACTGCCCTGATGGTCGCTGGCCGACACGATAAGTGCAACACGATGATGCGCACACGACGAATAATATTTAATGACGATCCTTTCAGGCTGCCAGCAACAATCAGCAGATGCGTCGCGTCATCTATCGCTCGCATGGAGAGGAGTTGGATTCATTGTGTGACGGTCGTACGATGCAGTGAGTACCCGGCATAAGAAATATATTACTTTGATGAGCAACATGTATTTCAGACAATTTTAAATAAAATACTGTAATTAAGATTGTAGCAATAAAGATATCCAAGTATTATTATCACACATAATATACATAATACATAATACATAAATTAGATTACATTGCAGTTGACTACTCCTGTTCATATTCCTCCTAAAATCTAGATTTCCATACTCTGGTTATTTAAGTTATACCCATAAATATAGAATATGTGTTAAAATCAATAAAACTGTGTATCTAGTTGTGCAATTTACAACCAAATATTGGAATTTAAACGGTAGGATTTAAGATGCTGCCAGCATCTTGTCCAGCTACCAATGCCATTGCTTCTCCAGTGTCAGCAGGTTCTCCAGTAGCAGGTATCTGTTGCTCAGGTCTTGGCATCTGTGCTTGGGTCACAGTATGAAGTGGTTGACCTTGTCCCGTAATCATAACTGTTTGATTGGTTGGCTGTCCCTGTCCTTGAAACATACCTACTTGCCCCACACCTTGTACAAACATTGGCTGTTGAAACATTGGTTGCCCCTGACCTTGATGTACCATCATTGGTTGTCCATGACCTTGGACAATCATTGGTTGTCCCTGAGCTGGTAGAATCATCGGTTGTTCCTGACCTTGGACGATCATCGATTGCCCTTGAGCTTGGAGCATTATTGGTTGCCTCTGAGCTTGGAGCATCATTGGTCGTCCCTGGTATGGTTGTCCCTGTCCACCTACCATCATTAGTTGGCCAGGACTCTGGGCCAACATTGGTGCATGCCCCTGAGTGTGGATGGTTACTGGTTGTTGTGCACTGTGTAGCTGTTCTTCAGGTCCACTACGTTCTCCAATTCCAATTACTGGTGGAGTTTGAATCCCTACTTGTTGGTTCTGAGCAGCAATATGTTGGTTTGGAATCACTACTGGTTGGTGCTGTACCATAACTGGCTGGTTCTGTACCATTGTTGGCATACCATGTGCTTTTGGTACAGCTAACATCATCATATTACCATTAGGGGTCATAACCATCTGGTATTGGTCAATAGTCTTAAAAGAAAATTACATAAAATACATATTCTGTTTAAAATGCACTTGTTGATGGGCCACTAATACATTTTCATCAGGTTCTCTACATCACCATCTTCATCATCAATCAGCAAATCTACAGCAATCATCATTATCACTTCTTTCTTATAAATAGTAATCTGAATAATGTTAAGCATCTTAGGCATTGTTTGTAGTCAGTAGATGTACTTACTAACAATAATACTAAATACTACTTCTTGTTTTAATTAATTATCATCACCTCCATTATCTTATCATATCTCATTATCTTAGGTTATGAACCTACCTCAGGTTGACAACAGTTGCAGTTTAAGCCCCGGCAACATAGGTAACAACTTAATTGAGAAAATGAAAGGCCTATGGTTACAATGCAGATCAACGTTTCCAAAACTCCAAATCCCACAGTGAGCAAGTCCAGCAAAAACTGTTAAAATAGAGTATAAATCTTTTAGATATTCAAGAACATACAGTAACATTTAACAATCACTGACTGGAGCTGGCTGCATGTTAGTACACCATCCAAAAATTCCACTATTTTCTTCCAAATGAAAAAAAAAGCACTGCAAAATACTTCACAAATGGGATATCAGAGGCAGATCCAGTAATTCAAATTGGGGGACCCCAGGGAGTGAGTTTTTTTTTTTTCTACAGGTAAGTTGAGCCCATTGCAGGTTCTAAGCCAATCAGAATGCGCAGACATACGTCCTGGGTCATAATTATATGAGGTAAAGGGGTGGTGGTACGATTTAAATGTGTCTTCTACTTTTAAAAAAAAATTCGCTCGGACAAGCTACTGTAGCTTCACAGACACATCTATTTAATATGTAGCACCCAAAAATTTAGGTCTTCCAATCACAACCAAATAAATATAAAAACAAGCTTGTGTGTAGATCTGAACATTATCTGGCTATGGCTCTTCCTTTATGTAAACAGATACGCAGCAAAAAAAGATCCTAATACACCAGCCTAATTTTATACATCCATCCATATACTGCATTGTAGGATACAATGTAATATTGACATTTAGTATAAATGACGAAAAGTAAAAATTGAAATAGGTAAACATTCAATTGTTAACTAAAATACTGACCCTACAACAAATTATGCAGTTGTTATTTAGTACAGATTGCAACTAAAAAGAGAATATGTAAACATACAGTTTTTGGTGGATTTGAAAAGCTTTTCTGTGTGTAACATAAAAGCACAGTATTAAGGTTAGCAAAGATGAATGTTTCCGGTTTAATGACCTTATTTGCAGTTTTCTCAATTACAATGCAACTATGAAAACATACATACAGATGGTACAGTATTTATTATACTGTAATTAATTGAAAAATTAAACCAAGTGTAGCAATCGTTGTATAATATGTGAACAATAATACCTTACCTCCCCCCGTGCCCTCTTGAATCCATAACTGAATACTGATATCGAAACAGCAGCAAATGGTTGGGCCCATCTTCTTATCAAAATTTCATTGAATTTGCATGAATTGCTTATCATGTTGGATTATTGCTACACTACATGGTAAAGAGCTCCAGCCTATAATAACGGGAAGCACCCTAATTTAAGGCAAGGAGGGCGCTGTAAGTCCATCTTTGGGAAGCGGCAAAGAACGGGCAGAGATACAGCAGTGGAGTTTGAACCAAAACACCACATTATCATAATAATATTGAGGAATTAGAGAAAAATTACATCATTGAATTATTTTCAGGATGATAGCTAGAATAACAAGAACAGATGTGGAATTGTGGAATCCCATAGAAACATGATCCATACCTTTTCGGTTTTGTCCGTGTTTCGTATACTGTAGCCATTTTGACAACAACCAGGAACACAATGAGAACAATAAGGGTATTCTGTATAGTAAGGATAGTAGGGATAGTATGGAGTGTATGGTATTGGTGTGGTTTTGCAACTCCAGTCGATACATCCGTAAATGTAATCGTCATACCCATTCCATATATTTGAAGAACCCCATGTGAACATGTTAATAGACATCAGAAACGCAAGAATGGAAAGTGAAAAGAAACAGGGAATCTGAAATGAAAAGTAAGAAATTATTAGATTACTTTGTGATATTACCAGATGTGCATTATTAGTCTTTCGTCTCATTTGTCCATTTAAAAAACAACAGAGATGGAACATTTTGGTTGAAAATACTGTAAATTAATAGTAATGTGTACATCATAGTGCTATGCACAGTTCGGTGGCGTAGGGACCGGCAGTACAATCAGTGCAAAGCCATGGGGCCCAGGGCCATTAGGGACCCCATAGATACGCCTAAAAATGATAATCAAAAAAAGTTTCCAACTTCATATTTTAGAAGAAAAAATGGCAAGTAAGTCCCTAAATAATATATTAGTATTTAGAGGAGTAATTAATTATTAATTACTGTGTTCACTTGTGTTTAATTTTATGTGCCACCAATTTTAATGCTTTCTTTTATGAGGCTTGGAAATACATACTTTCATTTCAATGTTCTATGTACTGTACACATATATTCATTATGGAAGTTAAAACAATCACCTCTTTACCCTCCTTAAATTTGTATGAAGACGTTAATGGTTTGTCTTTCTGAGGAAAAATAAATATTTACATACTGTACTCCATTTAGAATTTACACTGTAAGCAGACTACCAAAATTGTTTAGCACTTGGTCAATCCATTCTCACCTTATTCATATTTATATATATATATATATTCATATTCCATGATAGCGTCTTTCTTTGACGATTAAAAGTGAAGTGTCGCTGCTGTAATGAGCACAGGAGCAGGCAACCCCACAATGTACCCATTTATACTCCTGGGTGGAGAGAAGCAATGTAGGTAAAGTGCCTTGCTCAAGGACACTAGCGAAATGAAAACCTGACCTAAAAATGTTAGAAAACCTAACCTTTCATGCTGCACAAAACCATTTCTAAAAAATATATCAGCCCTTAATGACAGTGTGAAGCACATTCAACAGTGTGAAGCACTTTTCATAAAAATTGTATAAAAGTAAACACACATCATATATAAATATTGTGTCTATTTACTTACATATGACCCTTTCTTTGTGACACTCAACAGCCCAAAAATACCAGTCACTGCAAATATCTGTGAAAAAAATGAAAAATTAAAATACTACAGGTAAATACCTAATACCTTAAATGGTTTTTAGTTGTTAAAACTGAATCCTGATTATATTTGTGGTTACAACTGTAATAAATTCCAATATGTAGATGTGTATAAGAGATAGATTTTTCAGTGGGATTGAGCACTGTTTCACAAAAAATTGAGATATTTTTTTTTTATATATATATATATATATATATATATATATATATATATATATAATGCAAAAGCAATGAAAAAACGGTGTACAATCATTGAATATATCATACATATATATATATATACATACATACATACATTATAACATACATACTTATATGTACGGTTGGGTCAAATTTGTGTGGTGGTTGAAAAATACAGGGGGAGTCTTTATGGCCCAAAATAGTGATTTCAGACTACATTGGTAATGTAATTCGACAGGCAAATTACAGTAACATTTTTAACAAATTTCTTTGAAAAAATATCGTAGGCATAGGGCCTAGCTACGTATACAGTATTTTCATTTTACAGTACGTAGTTTGGAACGATATCGGAAGTGGGGGTGCTGGCAGTGGCCTTCTATTATGACTACAATTTATTTGAAATTATCTTGGGTCCGATCGTCCACACCAGTTGGGCCCAATCGTCTATCACCCGAAGTTTTCATTACGATTATCAAGAACGTACAAGATCTATGCCCTGGGCTAGGCTTAGCTTGCTGTCGTCACTCGGCTACGTATACTACACTACAACCGCATAACAAAGAAAGCGACCCACGTGGTGCATTCTTAAATATTACACACATTATTTAATTGTATTAGACGATAACACGATATCATTGATTGAACGATCTAACTAGGCCTATCCTTGCATCGCAGTAATACTGAACTAGGCCTAGCTTAGGCCTCATGTTTTTGTGAAAAGCTAGATAGTCGTTATGTACCCGACAGTCGGCTGCCTTTATATTTTCACCTGTTTTCAGTTTGCATTCAAAGGGTACATTGCTGCACAGCCAACTATCGGGGATATAGTACCTACATATGACTACTCATATGTATACAACAGAAAAAAACGTCGCATGGACTAAGTGAAAAATGGAGATCTAAATGAAGAAACGATGTATCTCAAACTATGGGTCACGGCCCAAAATTTGGGTCGCCAAAACATTTCTGAGGGTCGAAAGGCGCTTCTCACATTTCAAAACATAGTGGAAAATTCTTCTGTAAGCGGCCAGTCCTACAAATTACTCAACTAAAGAGATACACCTAGACCTGTCTCTTATACACATCTAGATGTGTATAAGAGACAGAACAAGAACAGATGTGGAATTGTGGAATCCCATAGAAACATGATCCATACCTTTTCGGTTTTGTCCGTGTTTCGTATACTGTAGCCATTTTGACAACAACCAGGAACACAATGAGAACAATAAGGGTATTCTGTATAGTAAGGATAGTAGGGATAGTATGGAGTGTATGGTATTGGTGTGGTTTTGCAACTCCAGTCGATACATCCGTAAATGTAATCGTCATACCCATTCCATATATTTGAAGAACCCCATGTGAACATGTTAATAGACATCAGAAACGCAAGAATGGAAAGTGAAAAGAAACAGGGAATCTGAAATGAAAAGTAAGAAATTATTAGATTACTTTGTGATATTACCAGATGTGCATTATTAGTCTTTCGTCTCATTTGTCCATTTAAAAAACAACAGAGATGGAACATTTTGGTTGAAAATACTGTAAATTAATAGTAATGTGTACATCATAGTGCTATGCACAGTTCGGTGGCGTAGGGACCGGCAGTACAATCAGTGCAAAGCCATGGGGCCCAGGGCCATTAGGGACCCCATAGATACGCCTAAAAATGATAATCAAAAAAAGTTTCCAACTTCATAATTTAGAAGAAAAATTGGCAAGTAAGTTCCTAAATAATATATTAGTATTTAGAGGAGTAATTAATTATTAATTACTGTGTTCACTTGTGTTTAATTTTATGTGCCACTAATTTTAATGCTTTCTTTTATGAGGCTTGGAAATAGATACTTTCATTTCAATGTTCTATGTACTGTACACATATATTCATTATGGAAGTTAAAACAATCACCTCTTTACCCTCCTTAAATTTGTATGAAGACGTTAATGGTTTTTCTGAGGAAAAGTAAATATTTACATACTGTACTCCATTTAGAATTTACACTGTAAGCAGACTACCAAAATTGTTTAGCACTTGGTCAATCAATTCTCACCTTAGTCATATTCATATATATATATTCATATTCCATGATAGCGTCTTTCTTTGCCGATTAAAAGTGAAGTGTCGCTGCTGTAATGAGCGAAGGAGCAGGCAACCCCACAATGTACCCATTTATACTCCTGGGTGGAGAGAAGCAATGTAGGTAAAGTGCCTTGCTCAAGGACACTAGCGAAATGAAAAACGGACCTAAAAAGGTTAGGAAACCAAACCTTTCATGCTGCACAAAACCATTTCTACTAAATATATCATTATCCGCCCTTAATGACAGTGTGAAGCACATTCAACAGTGTAAAGCACTTTTCATAAAAATTTTATAAAAGTAAACACACGTCATATTTAAATATTGTGTCTATTTACTTACATATGATCCCTTCTTTGTGACACTCAACAGCCCAAAAATACCAGTCACTGCAAATATCTGTGAAAAAAAAGAAAAATTAAAATACTACAGGTAAATATCTAATACCTTAAATGGTTTTTAGTTGTTAAAACTGAATCCTGATTATATTTGTGGTTACAACTGTAATAAATCCCAATATGATGGGTGGGAGGGGAGGGGGGGGGGGGGTGGGGAGACTAAGTGGAGGGGCTCAGACAATTTTAGTTCAAGAGTAAAGCCCTGGTGGAAGAGAGCTTTAGTGACGGAATATTTCTATAAACAACCTGGAAATAAGAAACGAAATACAGATAATAAAAAGAGCACCACATCATTCCTCTGCAATCTAAGAAGCAAGTGCCACCAGGGGTGGCGCCAAGATTTTTCCCAATGAAGGGGACTCTCATGAACCTGACGAGAGGAAAGTAGGTCAAAATCTCTTGGAAAGGGGTTAAGGCAAGGGCCCCCTCCCCGAAAATGCACAATTTCGGGGTTTCAAAGGTTATTAAATAATTTCTAAAATAAGTGTTTATTAATATGTATAAAATAATTTTTTTTCCCCTACCCAACGAAATGCATTTTATTCCCCGATGAGGAGACCTGGCTGACGCATATACCCCCAAGGCCCACCTGAACCGCATTTCTACTATATTTGTAAAATATTCTAAATGCCGGCTTCTCAAACTATGGGTCACGGCCCAAAATTTGGGTCGCCAAAACATTTCTGAGGGTCGAAAGGCGCTTCTCACATTTCAAAACATAGTGGAAAATTCTTCTGTAAGCGGCCAGTCCTACAAATTACTCAACTAAAGAGATACACCTAGACGTAGCTATAAAAACTAGGAATTGTCAATCTAAAACCATCAACTTTCATGGTAGCACTGCCGCCATTTTTTTTAACTCCCCGACAGAATGTACCAGCCTTACCCGATTGGGGGGGGGGGAGGAGGCTAGGCTTCCCGACAGAGGGGCTATAGCCCCCTCAGTCCCCTATGGTGCCATCACTGCCAAGGACTGAAAAACATTGAAATTAGGCAGGAATATACCTCACATTCACACAACCAGTTAATAAACAAAATGTTTAAAATGATGATTTCCTTCTTTGCTTTTTGAGTTCATTTGAAGCCTATTTGCGAATGGGTAGGGATGTACAAGCTTTAATTTTCTATTATTTTTTACCCAGTCAGCCTCGTCCAAGTTGACTGTACACAAGTCGAAAATTGTCATTTCAGTGTTTTAAACATTTTAAAATTATGAATGTAATAAATATTCTCCACAGTGGCAGATTCAAGGTGGCCCAGCTTCCCCATGCCAACTCTTCTAAATTTTTCAAAATTATAAAAAAAAATGGAGAAAATAAGAAAATTATATTCAAATTCAAGCCTGAAAGTGCCATTTCCATCTAAAGATCTAAATCATACATTTTCTTACTTCAGCCCAACCATGCTGGGGCTGAGGTGGTTTTGCTCCAATACTATAAAATGGAAAATTTCCCACACCATAAGACTCGTGTACTTTTTTGAGTAAATAAAAATTGAAACGACTCATCACTGTTAATTTGTATTCCACTTTGGTTTTGTAGAAATACAACAGCATATCTTTATTTTTTTTAATTTAATAATAAATTAGGAGGCCAATGCTATGGCTATCATATGAAACTAGTATAGATTTCTAAAAAAGACAGGCAATAAGTCAGGAAACAGTAGAATTACGATATTTTGAGCTTCTGGGCCTCAGTAATCAACACATAACATGAGAAATCATTTTGGTATGACAATATATTCCTTAAGTCATCAAAGAATGGGGAGTCTGAAGGTGGGTTGCCACCTAAAAAGTTTTTGAAGCAGGGTCCTAAACTCTCTGTCTTAGTGCTCAGTTGTTGTCAAAGACTTAATTCACTGCCTTACCATTAATCCAGACCAGATAGGTATTCCGATGTGTGCATATTTAGTACCAACGTACACCGCAAAGATTCCAATCGCAACACAGATGACCCCGATGACGATATCGATCACACTTAGGGTGATGGTGAGATTGCGGTGACTTTTGCTCTCACAAGGTTTCCAGCATCGCTTCATGGCCGGGGATTGGCCACTCAGTGGTGAACTTTCATCTACAATGTTTTTAAATATAACAGCAATGTTTGAGTCTTTGTTATCCATTTATTGTCTGAATCATTTTCGTATAAATTAAAAATAAAAATTTACCTGTCGAATGCACACTAGTTCTCTGAACAGAGTTTGAAACAGCTTGCTGTTCATCCTAAAATGAGAAACAGACGTGATGTAATATTCTACGTTTTTGTGCTTAAGAAAGGTTCAAATGTGGCTAGCATCAAACTTCAATTGGAGTTGATCACTTAGCTCCTTGGATAACCCTCGTATAAGTTAGGCATGATAGGGTACACTTGCACCACAATATGACTGCCGCAGGTACCCGGGGCCAAGCCAAAATTTCAAAATTCAAATTCTAATTATAACAAAAATGAAACATTAAATAATTTTTAAGTTTCAGAATGGTGGTTAGTGTCTCAAAATAGGGGCTTTCTATTCAAGGGCATTTCGGTTGGTGTTCACTCAAATGGGTGTGCATATTCAGGGCACACTTGCACCACAATATGACTGCCGCAGGTACCCGGGGCCAAGCCAAAATTTCAAAATTCAAATTCTAATTATAACAAAAATGAAACATTAAAACTACTGTTTGTTTTTAGGTCAATTAAACTAAAAAAATCAACATAATGTTTAAGTTATATTCACGGGCATTTCAGTTGGTGTTCCCTCAAATGGGTGTGCATATTCAGGGCACACCCTATTAAGGGAACACTCTTTCTATAAGTGTCCCCTTAATAGGGATTCTACTGTATAATTGTCATCATATGGAGAGAGAAAAAATACCCACAATGTGTTTTAGTTTGTATAAATGAAATTACAGTAATACCGTACCTTACAACACAAATACAATATTAAAAATTCAATGATCAATGTACCATATTTTTTTTCAAACAGCAAATTGTGATCCAATTTGTATTGCGTAAACTCAGAGTTGTAGCCAGCAATGAGGCAACCAATTCAACAACAGCAACAACCAGAATAGCCATATCAACTGCAACATTTTCCCACTGAATAGAATAAAAAAAATAACAATCTTTATTTTATTAATTCCTGTCAAAGTAACAGGATTTTGTATTGAATTAGATTGGATTTATTTGGTGTAAACACCAAGGATAGCCTTGAAGAAGACTTGTTTCCAGTAGGATCCTTTTGGTGGTGATTGGACAGTACACCGGGAGACAATCCCCTACTCTTTTCCGAAGAGTGTACTGTGTTCTTTAACGTGCACATGGGCCATAAATGCACACAGGACCAACGGCTTAAACATCTCATCCAAAAGACGGTGCGCTATTGTAACTTGTATTTCAGCCCTCTAGCTGAAACACAAGGAGAGGAGAGTGATGGGAATTGAACCGGAGACCTAGAGATCTCCATGGTTCAGGGCACACACAGTGGCTACCACCAGATTAGCCGACTGAGCGAAGCTGCTCTCTCATCATTTTTTCTCAACCAAACACAACACAACTCTCTAAGCCACATAGTGAGACTTAAAGTGTTCTTCAGACTTTCATGTGTATCTGTAGTGATAAATAATAATAATATATACATCGATTGTGCCTGATTAAAATACAATACTGTAACATTAATAATTTATTGATATGGTGTTATTTATTTTTATATATATACATACATACATACATATATGCTAAAGTTCGGTAAGTTTGATTGGTGTCAAACTCCTAGTTATCAATTCTCAGAGAGAGATCAAATCGTGGGGAGGCTATGATTTTACTACACAGAGTAAAAGGAGCATTTCTAGTGTATTTTATTTATTTATTATTTATTGACACTTCACCTTTAGAACGGTGGCACACACAACTCGTGTGGTGTGGTCGGATAACAATAACAACTAGAATACAAAAGAAAAGAAAAAAAACTAATACTAAAATTAAATCATATAAAGAAAAAGCACAACAAATTAACCAGGAATGTAAAAAAAAGCCTACAGCTTAACTCCAAAATCAACCCTTCAGTTGAAACACAAGGATAGAATTGAACCGGAGACCAAAGATCTGATGGTTCAGCAGTGCGCACACAGTGACTACCACAGTTTAGCCGACAAATATTGATTATTTTAATATAATTTCATACCTTTCTTCATAATTGAATATGCTGAATTCATTAGTTCCTTGTCTAAAATAAGTTGGAACAGACGTGATCTGTGGTCTGGCCATTCATACGATTTCTGTGGATAAGTAATTCAAACACAAAAGTATTAAAAGCGAAGGAGATTTTTGTGGGTCAAATAAAAGACAACATTTACACAATTAATATAGGTCTATAATAGGCTATATATTTACATTATATATATATATATATATATATATATATATATATATATATATTGTAAACATTGTCATAAAATGGAAAGAATGAAAAAGATATTAAAGTGATTCATACCGACATGGATAATATCGAATCATAGCAACAGTTATTGCGGTTACCCGAACATTCATAATTGCTGCAAACTTCATGGTATGAGCCTTCGCTCTCAGGTAAAGCAGTCAACATAAGCGCTGTCAGAGCAATACTTAGCAGAAAGCTAAATGCACTCAAAAACCCATATACTGCAGCCTGCACACACAAAAATATATTAAAATACTTAACAATTTAACTTTAGATGGTGGTACACATTATACTGGAGTAATGTTAATTTTATTTTTGTTAAGAATACAACTACGTGTACTGAGGGGTTGGAATGTAGTGCAAAGACACATTACTGCAAAGTGCATACTTTTTATTGTTTTTAATAAAAAAAAATTTATCATAAGGTTGAGGTTGATAATTAAAGTGCTTATTATAGCACCATATTAGTAAACAACAGGGACGTATCCAGGGGGGAGCCGTGGGAGCGTGGCTCCCCCCTCCCCCTTTGTACACAGTGTGAAAATTTTAAAGCTTATTCTTGAGCCAATACAAATTCTTTCCTGGGATTAATACTCAAAATGAATACTTCTAAACATGTAAATATGCATCAGTCGTTATACATAGGCCTAATAGAACACATAGGCCTAAGCGTGATTAAAAAAAAATCTTAAATCCATAAATCTCAGGCCAGGTCTTTTAAGATAGAAATGCGATAATGTGGTTCATTTTAATTTTTATCCTTTTGCAAGTTTCTTTTAATGTTTGTTTAATAATACTACTACTAATAGTAATAATGATAATAATAACAATGATAATGATGACGAGAGTAATAATTGATAATAATATTAATAGGAATAAAAAGTGAAGAAAATTGTGCTAAATGCGAAAAAAAAAGTTGTGATTTGTTGATCATACTATAGTATATATAGTTAAAGCTTAGTAAGCTATAATTAGGCCTAAGTTATCCTGAATAGTAGATCCCTGATAAAGATCATGAGAAATTTGTTGGCGTTTCATTTTGACTATAATGGTAATGTGATGATGATGAATTTTACTACAGTGTAAAAGTGTCCTCAAATCAGCCCCAGCCATGGTGGGACTGAGGTGGTTGTGAAATCACGTTTTTGAAGTAGGCCTATGTAAAGTACATACTCAAAGACAATGTTTTTAAGCTTTGTTTTCTATGGTATACACACACACATTAAT